TATATTCATACACACACACTTTTCACATACATATATACACACATGCCCCCATGCATATATTCATACATACATACATACATATACATACACATACACATACACATACATATACACATACACATACATATATATACATATATACATATACATATACCCATACATACACGTACATACACATACACACATACATATAGATATATACATACATATACACACACACACACATATATATATATATATACGCATGCAATTACATACACACCCTTACATATATATATATACACACACACACACACACACATGCATATACATACACATATACATACATAAACATATACATATACATACATATACACATATATCCCATATACATACATATACATACACATATACATACATACATACACATATACACATATACACATATATACATACACATACATATAAATACACACACACAGATACATATATGTACATATATATAAAAAGTTAAAATCTAAATAAGTGACGATTCAAATATTTGCGCGTGTAAAAAAAAAATCATATATATATATATATATGCGTATACATGCACATACATATACATACATATACATATAAATACATGCATACACATACACAAACATATATACATATATAAATACATAGCGCATCACATAAACGTGCACAATGATACATTTAGAGATAAACATAATAGTCATACAATTAAAATGTCATGCCCGATGTTATAGGACTAAGATGGAGCCGACATAAGTGACAACATGTTAAAAATGGTGTTCAAGTTTTGAAACGTTTCTTATGTCTACATTTAGAGAATATCTCATTCCGAAGATTCAGCAGCTCATCTCGATTCTTATCTTTGATAACGAAGATTTTTTTCCGCCATGTATATATATATATATATATATATATATATATATATATATATATATATATAGAATATTGCATCAAAACATGTAAGAATCGCTACACAATTACAGTCATGTTCCAACGCATAAAGATGCGTCTCCTCAGGTGGTTGTAAATTACTGGCGAGTGAACAGTTAATTTGGTTTCAAAAGCAAATGTATATCCTCATTTTTTAAAAAATACATATAAAGCTTGAGGTCTTTACTCAGATCAAACAATCGAATATGACCTACGTTAAGTTCAAACTCCAGCGAAAAAGAAAAAAAAAATAGAAATGGTTATCTTAGAAATATGTCATGAAATAAATTTTTAAATATTTTTCTAAAATGTATTGAACCCTGTTTTAAATTAAATGTTACGTTCAATGGAAGTTTACTGCGTTCGTTCCCATCGTACCTGGATATATATATATATATATATATATATATGTGTGTGTGTGTGTGTGTGTGTGTGTGTGTGTGTGTGTGTGTGTGTGTGTGTGTGTGAAGAGATATGTGATATATTTATGGGATAAAGAGCACAATATCAGAGATAGAGCGTGTGTAAATATCGAAGTGAAGATAGATGTCAACACTTAGAGGCGACAGTCTTTTTCATGCTAGATGCAATCGTCAGGCCTGACGATTGCATCTAGCATGAAACAGACTGTCGCCTCTAAGTTTTGATTTCTATGTTCACTTTATATATATATATATATATATATATATATATATTGAGAGAGAGAGGGAGAGGGAGAGAGAGACTAATGTTAAATGTATATAAATATGAAAAAAATCGAAAACTATCAGCAGTAAATTACTGATACCCCTGAAGATTGGATGGACATGTCTGCACACGAAACACTGGAGTTGAGATGCTGAAGGCAACATTAATCGTGTAAGTGACAAACTTTGACTCACGTTTAATCAACATATATATATATATATATATATATATATATATATATATATATATATATATATATAGGAAGAGTATATTGAAGTCCACAGCTAGAGGCCACACTGTTTCATGATAAAATGATAAACGCAATCGTCAGGCCATGAAGTTTGCGTTTAGCATGAAACAGAGAGTCGCCTCAGGTCTCGACTTCAATATTCACTTTATATTTATTTACATATGTTCTGTCTTTGATACTGAGCAATTTTACACAGAAATATCTCATACATTAAAAATATATTTTATCTTATATATATATATATATATATATATATATCAAGGCTGATCAAAAATTATTCTGTCTAGTGCTATAACAATAAGACTAAAACAAACATGAATTTACTCCACTTCGAAGTAGTACGCTTTTGAAGACATATGCTTTATTAAGCGTTGATTCTGTTGATGGGAGTATTCCAGGAACCCCTGTTGATGATAGCGAACAGCTGTCATGTTGCATTTTCTCCGGTTACCTCAACGTCTTGAAATCTTGTACTTTTCAAGTGGTATTTGGTTTTTGAAGTGTTAAATGTCTCAGAGTGCGAGATTTGGAGAATATGGTGGTTGTCAGACATCGCAAATGTAGTACTTGGCCTAAAACTACTTCATCAGTCATGGCAACAGTAATGTTGTGTGGTGTGACGACCACACTCTACACACCTCACTTCCAAGCCCTGCTATAAACTATGGAAGTTATAACTTAATTTATGAGTTCAAGGCCCATCTGTACCACACGGATTCCCTCTGCTTACTTTAGCTCCGTTTCCATAGCAACAGCCCCGATGTTTGATAAAACCTCGTATATATATATATATATATATATATATATATAGATAGATAGATAGATAGATAGATAGATAGATAGATAGATACACCTAGTAGGCCAGACAAACCTACCTAGGTTTCACCTAAACGGATCGTCAGGGAAAGTTTGGCCAAACTTTCCCTGACGATCCGTTTAGGTGAAAACCTAGGTAGGTTTGTCTGGCTCACTAGGTGTATCTAGGTCTGCTCTACGGTTGTATTGAGCTCTTTTGTTAGTTAGTTGTTTACTCGTATCGGGTTTTTTTCTTTGGGATTCAAACCTGCATCTGTGGATTTTTTTTGTCGGCAGAAGTTCATGTTTGTAGCTCTTTCTTTTTTAAAACCTTTTTCCCTCGAGATTGATTTGATTAGCAAATCAAAAAATCGAGGGTTTTTCGAAAACGAGTCTAGTTATCTATATTTATATATATATATATATATATATATATATATATATATATATATATATATAGAGAGAGAGAGAGAGAGAGGGGGGAATTGCGTGAAAGGCGAAGAAAAGAAATAATCATTAAATACAGCCCTACAAATTACAAATTTTAAGTATTTTATTATGAAGTATAAAAACAATTATAAATTCATACGTAAAGTGTTTTGATTTTTTACAACCCAAAATGAAGTAATTTTCTTAGTATAGGGTGAAAAATCCAAGTTTTATATAACGTGGTTAGAAGTCAGCCAATTAAATATCACCGATATTACGGCTTTCATAACTACGCTTTGTTTTTACATCGCTTGCATATTTTCGTAATGTAAACTGTTCAAACTGTTTATGGGAATTCTTTCAACGTGAAAAATGAATTTCTAAGAATAAACTTAGTATTCAAGGAGTTAATTGGAATATGAGAACATTTGTGTATTCATTATTGTTTACAATTCAAGATACTTAAGGCTAAAAAGTATTTTTTACTTTATGCTATTTATAAAAAAAATCGGATCACATGAAGTTAAAATTTAAATTTACTAAACTAAGTTTTATTGGTTAATAATTATATTTCCCAATTTTTAATATCGATTTTCAGGAGTGAAAAAGTTGTTAATTATGTTTTGGATGTGATCTTTCAGTTTTTTGTAGATACAACAAGAAATGGTTGTCTGCATTTTCAAAGCTTGTATGGCGTTTGAGCCAAGGCCACTGGTTGGCTAATAATTGGTAATGTGGTGTTTTGAATTTAGAGTTCGAGTGAGATTATTTTTGTACAGAATTGAGATGATATCTGTGTAATAGTACCGATGTACAGAATTGAAATTTTGGTGATACTACATAAATCAGGCAGTGGAAAACTCGGAGAGGGTAATTAATATGCGATAACTGATAACTGGCATCCATTAAACTTGGCACGTGGAACTAGAACAGTCTACTTCAGTGAGCAAAATAAAGGGTTCAGTTCGAAATTCCAACCACTTGAAGAAGACCGAACCGTACAACGGTCGAAACGTTGTGATAAATATGTCGACAAAGATGAATAGTGTGAATAATGTAAATAGTGTACATAATACCTCAACTCAGAAATATAGACAAATGTATTATAAATTTTTTTAAAAATCATTCGTACGACTGTCAATTTGTGAAAAATAAGGCTGGAAAACTATGCATTGTCCTTTGTTTTATATGGCAGTGAATTCTTGACAATATTCTTACAATTATAGACGGGACTCGAGGCTACAGAGATGAGGTCCTACTGACGGTTGCGAAAACACATTAGGTACAATGTGAGTTTTAAAGAAAATTACGACGAGAAAGACACTCATGATTAAAATCTGTTCTGGAAATTCTGTTGCATACTTGTTGTAACCTAGTAAGGGTTAATGAATGAAAAACCAAAACGGTGTTTGGAAATGTAATGGTAATCTTTATAACATCAACAAAATAGAATACTCGCCAGCAGCCCGAATTAGGTAAACCACGTCTAGCTGTAGACTAATTAGACATCATATTACTCCCACTTACTATGGTGTCCAACGTATTTATGAGGATTGTGTCATACACATGAGTGTTCATAGGTAGGGTTTATAAAACCATTAAGCTCCTTTGTTCCGTCAATGGTATTCTGAGAATATTTCTATAGAACCATATCTCTAAATTCGCCTCTTCTTCTGCGAGGAGATTGTCCAGCATTCACAGGATCATTCACAAAAGTTCCTCGTGTAAGTAAACTGTCCGTTTTGCTTTTGATATATCCTGTGAGTATCAAATTTTCCAAACAGTCTTTCTTTTTTTATGAGTCCAAGAAATTTAAAGATTCTTTCTGATTCTAAGTCTCTTTATCATTGAATGACTGTCATCATATTTTCAGTCAACTTTTCCTTGTTTAGCTTAGCCTTAAGGACTTTTAGTACTGAAACACCGGTTCTCGTACGACCACCGAAGTTAAGCAACGTCGACCCTGGTCAGTAAGTAGATGAGTAATCACTTGTAAATAGCAGGTGATGTAAAGCTTGGGTGGCTTTGTAATGGAGAATAGCTCAAAATTGTTAATCGGAGAGCCGACTTACAATTCCAGTTATTTATATTCATAAATTATATTCATTTAAGCGCCAATACCATTTGTGGCACCTTGCATTATTAGAAAAAAGAAATATTCATAGAAATATGATTTAATTTTTTTATTCGGTTTATTAACCAGTTGTTAGTTTTTTAGACGAAGAATAATTGAGTTTTGAGAATAATTCTCTAATTGTATTAGGCGATCCTAAGGGAAGAAAAAAAAGAAGGGAAAAAGAAAAAGAGAAAGAGGAAAAGAAAAGAAAGAGAATGAGTAATGCAAAAAGGCCGGTCATTAGCGAAAACAGGTGTCAAAAAAGGTATCTAGGCCAACGTGCCTGACCGAATTTTAAAAAGACAATGGGAATTGTTATTTGGGAGAATAGAATTAAAAAGAAAGAAAGAAAACAGGCTTGGTAAAAGTGTATGAACATATATGCGATTGATAAAAATGTCGGTCGAAGCATCTGGCCAACTTTTGTGTAGAAGACTCATTATCAATTTGGAGAAATGGGATTTTTTAGAACAATGGAAACGAAATATTAATCGGGGGAAAAGTGTCTTTTGGGATGAGAAGGTGACCGCTGGAATTGTGTACAGATTCTGACCTGTTAAAGATCAGAACTCCCACGATGATGAAGTGAAGACATTTTCAATTCAGATAATTAAGATTTTTGACTATCAGGTCTGAGCAAAAACAAAGAGGTAAAAAAAGACAATTGTTCTTGGCTCACAGAGGACGCCAGCGAGACGGAAAAAAATTCTTCCTGAAGTCACATCTAATTAGCGGCGGGCTGTTTTGACAGAAATCAGGGAGGTGAGAAAGGCCAAGATTGTCATTTTTCGTGCGTGCGAAAAAGACCAAATTGGATTTTGTTTTTTTTAGCAAGGTGTTCCTTCCCAGAACGAGGACGGGATAAGCCACGCCCAACCAGAATCTCATTAGCCGAAAGCGGTCACGTGATATGCGGGAAAGAGGAGAAAGGACGCTCGATCAAGAACCATTGGTCGAAAACGGTCACCTGACATACGAGAGACCGGGAGAGATGGGTATGCGCCTCCCCACCAGAGGCACTGTGAGGAAGTAGGGGTGAAAATAATAGCGATAATGGGAAATCAGAAATAATGCGACTATTGGAATTATCGAGAAAACCCTGACGCCGACAGACCCACCCTGGTTTGTTGCGGCGTCAATAAAAGCAGAACCCCAATCGACAGAAATCAGTTCAGCCCCGGACGGCAGCGAGAAGAGATCACCTCGGACGACAGAGAGTTCAGCCCCGGACGGCAGCGAGAAGAGATCACCTCAGACGACAGAGAGCTCAGATCACCTCAGACGACAGAGAGCTCAGATCACCTCAGACAGGCAGCAAAGTTGCAGGCCAAACAAGCAAATCAGTTCAACCTCAGTCGACAGAAAAGAGTTGCAGGACGGAAGAAGAAGAAGTTGAAATCAAACCAAGCCCAAGAACAGAAATTCGACCAAACAAAATTGAAGTGAAGAAATACGTCCAACTCAAGCCGAAGAGAAGAATCATCTGTGAACGACTGGTAGAGATTAGCCCCAGTGTCGAACTAGACCACACTCCGACATACACAATTCTGAAGAGTAGACAATTCGAAGTCTTTAAGTTGTATGATAGAAGCTTCGTGCCACAGTCCACAAAGCGGGTCGGGAAGCAAGAACAATTTTTATGTAACGAACATTAGATATAAAAGGTTGTTAATAAAAAACTCACGAGACAAAAAATTACTGATAAAAAAATCAGTAATTTTTTGTCTCGTGAGTTTTTTCTTTTACTTGTGTTTTGCCACCCCCGTCGGACTCAACTTGCATACGGCCCCAATCCCTGTTTGATCCCGTCTGTCTAAGATCTAAACACAACGTGGGTAGACAGACCGGAGATCAGTACAGTTACTCTAGTAACCAGGTGTTGGAAGCGGGTTGAGAAAGGCGAGGCTGGTAATCATCTAACCAAGGGGTTGGAACGGCACACTTGGAACAGCGAAGAGCGACCAGGAGGAGCGACGTCACAGTTGGCGCCGTAACCAAAGGATTCGACCCTGGACCAGGTGTCGCCGTCACAATTGGAAAAGGTATGAATCTACTTCTTCTCCGCCAACTATGGGTTAATTAGTAAAACTTGTATAAAGTAATTCTTATTATCTCCGCCACAAAATGATTTTACAATTTAAAAATATTATCTGGCCTTAAATAACATGCTAAGGGTTAGTAAGCCGTAGAAAACTAATCAATCAATTAATCTTTGATTATCTCGAAAATTATTTAAGCTGATTAATACTTAGCTTAAGTTTGGGAATTCGTGTTTATCGCTTGAAGTGCACTAGTTGCCTTAACATGAAATCGATCCCGGTTTGTTGATTAGTTTTTCAGTGATGATAACTTTTACATTTGTTCACGTTATATCTCTGTAATATAATCCATATATTGTATTTGTTAAACGATCTGAGGCAACAGATGTGCGGTTCGACAGAAGAAATTTGAGAATGCAATGGACTGAATCCGATTGTTGGCGTCTGTTCGACTTCTCATCTACGATGTTCAAAAGTTTAAATACAGCATCAATCACCATCAGCTGTCTTCCTGAATCCGCTTCTTTTTATTGTCTTTGTGGAAACAAAAAGATACTTATACTTAACATCAAAAAGGAACTGTTGAACTATCTAGGATATATAATGACGAAAGAGAGTTTGGAAAATTTAACACTCACAGGAAAAATTAAAGTCAAAAGAGACAAAGGAAAACAGCGTATCACTTACTTGTCGGCCAATTGAAAATGGTGTTCAAAACAGGTATTAGGCTTGGTTTTGTTTTACGCTATATCAACACCACCATGGGTTATTTAATGCTGACAAGATTTTTTGAGATACGTTCGTATTTATAGAAAATGTATTTTTTGTAGATATCAGATTGTAGATCAGAGTTCCGTGACGTATTTTTGTAAAGAGGATTTTTGTCGTGAATAAAATTTTTCTCAAAAATACATTATTGGTAATATAACTTTAAAAAATGTATTGTTGATGTTGTTACTGTAAAAATCTATTTTTATACTTTCATAGTGTTTTGACGAAAGTTTTGGGGTTAAGTATTTTCCCATAGCTGGTACCCTTACAGGTGCTACCACATCGGGTTAGAGTGGACTAGGTAACAATAGTAATTAAGTGGTGGTGACACGATTCTTAATCCCCACCCCACGATCAGAGCTCTTGCTGATAAAGTCTAAGTATGTTTGGTGTGAATATATATATATATATATATATATATATATATATATATATATGTGTGTGTGTGTGTGTGTGTGTGTGTGTGTGTGTGTATTGAGGATTGTGGAATCTGAGAACTGAGTTCAATTTCAAGTTCAGTACATTCATTTACGTACTAATACCCTCAGGAAAGTTACGAATCCATCTCTCCTCCCTCAGCTATGTGTAAATAGCAGGATACTATTATCATACCCAAAACAACGGAGATTAGGAGAGATAGCAAAAAAGACAAATATTACTAAGAGTTACAGAAGACAGGAAAGGCTGAAGGGTCTTATCAACCCCATTCTGAATGGACACGGTCAATATAAAAATAATGCTGGTTAAATACATATTTGACGGTGTATGCAATTCCTGTATTTCTAAATGATTATTATTTCGGGAGATTGTTATAATTATTTAAATATTTGCTTACTTAGCGTTTTATTATTTTGTTTTTCATCCACACTTTGAATTATCTTTTCGACTTAAATATGTCGTTATTTTTGTTTCTGTATAAGTTTCCGTTTCTTAATCGTTTTTGTAATGTTCTCCGCTCGTTTCTTGGCAATTACTTTCAGGTCATTCGATTCCCATTATGGTAATCCACTATTTTTCATTCTTAAAAATATCAGCGCATGCGCAATGCAAATATCCATTTTATCCATTTTCCTCTTGCTTGATTGCATTCAGAAAGATTGTAATAGTTTGATTTTTTCGAATTTTTCCAACTTGCTTTTGTCAGCAACATTTATTGTCATTATTCATTCAATATATATATGAGATTTTGTTAGCTTTTTCTCCCCCTCTCTCTCTTTCTCTCTCTCTGTCTATATATATATATATATATATATATATATATATATCACGAGACGGGTCCCGTAATTCATTAGACTTGTACGGACACGACATGTACTTCAGTCGAAGTAGAAGGGTTCTGAATTGGATGAAATAGACTGATGAAAAACAAACCTCTCGAGGCTGGTGTGAATTAAGATTTTACCGTCGATCAGCAAGGTTTCCACACAAGGCTATAGAAATCAGTCTATCCTGCTATTTACATATAGCTGAGAGAGGAGAGATGGATTCATACCGTTTCCGAGGGTATTAGTACGTAAATGAGTGTACTGAACTTGAAGTTCGAATTCAGTTCTCAGATTCCTCAATCCTCAATATATATATATATATATATATATATATATATATATATATATATATGTATGCATTGTATAGTTGTAGGGGGTTTTAGGTAGCAAAGATGGCGGTAGTTTACTAGTTTCGTCAATCCATTGCAGTAATGCTTTCTCTCTTCAGGGCTGTTGGCTTCTCTGCTGCTACTTATCATTTTTTTTCCTATTTATGTATGGTTTGGTGTAATTTGATATTTTTGTATGGGTGTATTTTTTTTCACTTAATGGTTTTGTGCTTCACCTATCATATATATATATATATATATATATATATATATATATATATATATATATATATATATATATATATATATTCTGCAGGGAAATAATCTGTATTTAGAACCTTAAGATAATCCAACAGAGACCTCTCCTGGCTAAGATAGACTTCCAATTGTAACTCGTTAATGTAAACGTTGTTGCCGGCTTCTGCTTTTGTTATAATCCAATTCGAGTTCGTTTGGTCCTCCCTTTTTATCATGACTGAGTCAGTTTTTAA